GGCCACTATTTCGTTCGTCGTCTTGTGACGTGCTCTGTAGACGGCGCCGTACGCGCCCTGGCTGATCTTGTCGAGACACTCGTAGTCGTCTATGTTTCCGTAGCCGGATTTTGATGATTTCTCGACTAATCTTCTTCTCTTAAGACTCTGAACATCATCGTCGTCGTCGTCGTCGTCGTGGGGCAGCGGCACCTCCTTTTTCTTGATATGAATTCCGGCGGACCCTTTTGATCGGTGGGCTCTTTTCCTGCCCGCGAAAAAAGCCTCGTATCCAGACTGACCAACTACTGCGCCTGTCGCCATGCTCTCGAGATTTTTGGATTGATTGCACTAATTTTCTTGTAAAATATGGATGTAATTTGGCGGTTCGATAAATCAGGAATTTCGCGGCGAGAGAACAGAGAATTGTAGGTTTGATTGTAGGGTCTATCTGTATACTTATGGTAACTTTTACATTGTATTCGGAATATTATAATCCAAACTAATCAATGTATTTGGATTCGTTTAAGGTAACTTGCTCTCCAAACTCTTATTTTGTGTCCAATTATTTCGTAAAATCAACTTTCAACTTATTATTATTATTATTATTATTATTATTATTATTATTATTATTCAATAATGCTCACCTACCCACGGTGGGCACATGTTAATATACCCACCGATACACACATTGGTGATGTATTTTTTTGAACATATAACATCACCAATGTATTGGTGCATGCCACATAAGCGGTGGGCATATTAACGTGTTCACCGTAGGTAGGGGAGCATTATCCTATTATTATTATTATTATTATTATTATTATTATTGTTGTTGTTGTTGTTGTTTTATAATAGCAACCGTTGTTGATAAGATTTCAAAGTGGTTCAACTATGCTATTAAAACTATTTAGCTATTTTTAGAGAAAATTGTTTCATTATATTATATAATAATAATAATACAAAAAAAATTGCAATAGAGTCGTTTGTACTTATGTAATTTGTATTTGGTGTGAGTTATTATTAATTGATAATACATTAACTATTAATAATATAATAGCAAAATATATATGATTATATTTAATTAGGTGTATTAATGTGAAGGTAAAAAAATATTAATGGTAGATTTTTGTAACCGAAATTGAAGACAATCTAAAATATTTTTATTAATTAATCTGCTAGCAATTATTTATATATAGATATGAAATTAAAAAAAAAAAGTATTTTAATATAAGATGAGCTAGCCATACAATTTATGGGTGCCGTCTTAAAAATAATAGCTGTGTAATTTACAATATATATATATATATATATATATATCTTTTTCTTCCCATAAATTTAACTAAAATCTTAATTACTTATTATTGATATGAAGTTTTATTGTAGTGGCTATTGTTATTTTTTAGTTTAAAATCACTAAACATTTTTATTGGACTAAAAGACAAATTATAATAGTTTTATCATTAAGTATAGAATCTAAATATTGTTTTGAGCCACATTTATAAGGATTCGGGCTGTAAACGAGTCGAGCAGCTCGCGAGCGCTCGAGTCAAAGCTCGGCTCGAGCTCGAGTTTGACCGAACTCGAGTCGAGCTCGAGCATTGTCGAGCGGCTCGCAAGTGGCTCGAGATATATGAAATTACTAAAATACCCTTGTATATATATGTATTTAATGGTTATTTTACAAAATTGCTTGAAAAAATTCGAACCGAACTCGAGCCGAGCTCGAGCATTTCGAATTCGGCTCGAGCTCGAGCTCTTGTATTTTTTAATCGAGTCGAGCTCGAGCCTAATAAATCTAGCTCGACGAGCTCGAGCTCGAGCTCGAGCAGCAGAAAAAAAAATTTCAATCCTACTCGATAAGATCAATGCTCGATCGGCTCAGCTCGTTTGCAACCTAATAAGAATGCAAACATGTAAGAAAATAAGAAAATCATGGGAATAGATAAAAGTAGAGAAAAAGATGTGAAGAGCCCAGAAGGCGTTTGTTTACCCCCCCCAAAAAAAAAAAAAATCATACTCAATCCATTCTCAAAACTAATTCAACTTTAACCAATTGGACTATGCTTGATTTATCAATATAATTAATTAATATTAAGCAAACATTTTTACATATCACATCAACTTTAATTCACTATTTATCCATTCACATAATTTTAACTAATCACACATGATTTATTTCATACTTTAACATTAAATCAATTTAATTATTTTTTAAAAATATTATTTTAATATAAACTCAAAAATCTCACTAACAGCAAATCGAACCACTTTTTCCAAATTAGTCCCGATTAACCAAAAAAATTATTTTGAGCGAATATATTTGTATTCAAACACACTTTAAAGAAATTGTACGCATTTGCAACTAATTGATGATGAGAATGTTTAAGTCTACACTCTTATGCGGTGCATATAATTAAATTACATTATCAAGTTTTATCAAATAACATCCAATGGTATATAATGAAAATATGGTACTAATATAGGATACCAATCGTTCAACATTTAATGATGTCCGATTTTCTGTAAGAACAAAAGAATGTAACAAATTTCATAATTTAAGGGCAACAAAAAAAAGTTGTCATGAATGGCATGTCATTAATGCTGATGGAATTTTGAGTAAGATTTAGTTTACTATTCTTGAAAAGTAGTTATTTTAACTATATATATATATATCTATATATATATATTTTTGGTATAGGGACCTTCCGGTTTCTGGATCCACAGGAGAATCGACTAATCAGGAATCGAGTCGGGTAGGACTACAAGGGCGGCAAAGCTCCCCCTCAAGAGTTTTAACATTACTACATTCCCAGAGCTCGATCACACACACA